CTGCTGCTGCTGTTGGTCCTGCTGCAGCTGCTGCTGCTCCTGCTGCTCTTGCTGACGCTGCTGCAATCCTTGCAGCAGCAGTTGTGATGACCTCCTAACTTGCAATGCCATTGCTATTGCTGTTGCTGCTGCTGCTGCTGCAGCAGCAGCAGCAACTCAATCTTCCTAGCTTAGCAGCAGCAATTGCTGCTGCTATTATTGTTGTAGCTGCAGCAACAAAACTTACCTGCTGCTGCTGCTGCTGCTGCTGCTGGGCAGCAGCAAACGGTCAGCTCTCCGCCCCACAACACTGAGCACTACAGGGGATGCAACACGAAGTGCTTCGCTTCCTTCTGCTGCAGCTGTTGCTGCTGCTGCTGCTGCTGCTGCCGACACTGTGGCTGGTGGCGCTGCCGCAATGTTGCTGTTAATGCTGCTGCTGCTGCTGCTGTTGTTGTTGCAGTTGCGTCGCTGTCTGTTGCTGTTGTTGCTGCTTGTATTGCTGTTACTATTGTTGCTGTTGTTGCTGCTGCTGTTGCTGCTGCTATTGCTGCTGCTGCTGCTGCTGCTGCTGCTAATGGGCTGCGCCTTTGCTGGCAGCAAGGCTGCAGCAAGAAAGGAAGGCTTCCCTTAGGAAGGGATAGCCTGTTATGCAGCAGCAAATCATTTTATAAGAAAAAAAAAAAAGAAAAAAAAAAAAGAAGAAAAGTACCTCTTATTAATATAAATAAAAGAGATAATATATATAAATATAGCAGCAATATGCTGCCTGCAACAGTAGCAGCAGCAGCAGCAGCTGCTGCAGCAGCCGCTGCTGCAGTAGTAGCGGCAACAGAGGCGCAGCAGACAGCCAACAACTTGCTGCTGTATATATACACAAGAAAAGAGAATATAAAGAAAATAAATAAATAAATTAATAATAATTAATTAATAATAAATATAAATAAATAAATAAATTAATTAATTCTTTATTTATTTACTGAATTAAGGTGTATAGACAGACACATGCATGCCTCGCCGCCGCCACAACAGCAGCAGCCGTAACAGCAGCCGCAGCAGCAGCAACAGCAGCAGCAGCAGCAAATATCCTCCTTCTGTCTATTTAATTTATAATTTATTTATTTAAGACAAAGTTATTTATATATTAATACTTAATTAATTTATTTTTATCTGTAAAATATATGTATATTCACGAACTAGCAGCAGCAGCAACATCAGCAACAGCAACAGCAGCAGCAGCTGCAGCAGCAGCTGCTGCTGCTGCCTAGTTAGATCACAACTATAATGCACTAATAAATTTAATTTAAATTAATAAACTGCAACAAAATAAATTATATTAATTAATACTGCTGCTGCTGCTGTTATTGCTGCTGCTATAGCTGCTTGCTGCAGCTTGCTGCTGCTGCTGCTGCTGCAGTTGTTAAATAAATAGCCGCAGCTGCATGCAAGTAGATTAAGGCATTTGCTGCTGCAGCTGCTGCTATTTACTTCTGGTGGCCAACTTAATAATTCAGCTGCTGCTGCTGGTGCTGCTGTGGCAGATGCTGCTGCTGCTGCTGCAGCAGCAGCAGCATCTGCTGGTGCTGCTGCTGTTGCATATAAAGGACTATTTATTATGAATAATTAATTATTAATATTATTAATTGCTAATTTCTTCTTATTAATTATTATTTATTTATTTATTTATTTATTTATTTATTACTATTTATTAATTAATAATTAATTATTATTTATTTATTAATAATTAAATATTATTATTAATTAAATAATTATGTATACTAAACATATCTATATATCTAATGTAATCTATTGCTGT